AAAAAAAAAAAAAAAAGTACGTGGGTTCCCCCCTAACAGTCCTACCAGACCCTTGATCCGAGCACTGTCCTGGCAGGAAAGGGGGGGAGGGCGATCGAGCGGCCACCCCCTACCTGTGCCTTGCCAGGCCACGTGCCCTCGGCATTGGGAGGTGTCATAAGGCTTTTCAGATGACACCTCGGCTCACAGACCTGAATAGCATTCGGAAACTCGCGAAAGCATTCGGGAGTTTCCGAATGCTATGTAGTATTTGACGGCTGAGAATGTCAAATGGGCGGAGCGAGTCGTGACGTCACGGCTCGCTCCACCCATCTGTTGACATTCGGGCTGAATGTCATTTTGCGGCGAGTTTTCATCGGGTTCGGGTGGTCGTCGTGCGGCGGGACTTTTTTTTATTTCAGCAGGTCGGCGGGGGTCGTGCATTGTGATTGACGCTGGATTACATCGATGGAGCAATTTTTTTTTTTTAAATTAAAGGAATAGTCAAAAATTGAGTCTTTTTTTTTTCTTCCAATTAAAGGATTTTATCTAAAAGTCTGGACTTTTTACTATTTGATTTAACCCTTTAGTGAATGGGTAGGGGTACAAGTACCCCTTACTCATTCACAAGGGGGAGGGCGGCATCTGGGTGCCCCCTTATTTAAAGGGGTACCTCGATGCAAATAAGCCCCCTTGCCCGCAGACCCCCACAACCACCGGGTCAGGGTTGTGAGGAAGAGGCCCTTGTCCCCATCGGCACGGGGACACCCTCCCAATGCCGAGGGCACATGGCCTGGTAAGGCGCAGGGAGGGGGGGGTGCTCGATCGCCCCCCCCTTTCCTGCCCTGATGGGCCAGTGCCCGGATCAAGGGTCTGGTAGGACTGTTAGGGGGACCCCACGTTTTTTTCCCCATTTTTGGGGCTGGGGTTGCCCCTTGAATTCCTACCAGACCTAAAGGGTCTGGTAGGATTTTGGGGGGAACCCCATGCACTTTTTTTTGTTTTAACTTGGGGGAGGGTCCCTCCTAACATTCCTACCAGACCTAAAGGGTCTGGTATGAATTGGGGGGGACCTCACGCTTTTTTTTTTTTCATCTTCTGCAGACTGTAAAAAAAAATTTAAAAAAATTCTAATGTCACTTTGCTGCTAGCGAAATTTCGTCCAATAAACAAAATTGCGACCGGACTACTACTAACGAATTTCAGAAAATCGGGAATTCAGATTCGTTTGAGCTGTAATTCGGATGCATCCGAATCGCCGAAGTTCCGAAAATTCATCCGAATTTCGATTCGGAACTAAACGAACCGCACATGTCTACTATGTACTAGCAATAATCCAAAATGATTTGTCATATATATAGGCTATAGTTTCCTGCCAGTTTTGACTCACTTGTGCTGCTGGGCCCCATAGCAGTTGTACAACCTGTTTTGGGCGCATTTGTGTCCCTGTTAGATGTTATTTGCTTATGATTAGGTAAATTATTGAAAATAATTTTTAAAAATATATGAAATACCGTATGTTTCTTGTAGCTACTAATCAGGTGCCAGAATAAATTCTGCAACCTGTAATGGGATGATTAAATGAATTCTGGTTGATACAAACAACAAATCCACTTCCAATTTCCAATTTTCTAGTGTTTGCAAATTGGTATTGCTTGTAACATTGCTGTAAGGGTCACATGTCTTGCTAGAGGGGTCAATATCCTACAAGAGTGCTGGCACATTAGCAGGGACATACCTTCCAACTATCCCTCAGAGGGACCACCCCTCATTTGGAACCAAATCCCTCTGTCCCTCTTTCCTCCTCAGTTGTCCCTCTTTTTGGTATGATGTACAGATATTTAAGGTTCTATTTAACTACCAAAAGTGTTTTTATGCACTAAAGTCTTTATCTTATCTCTTAATTATCTTATTTGCTATATTGAACAGCCAATATAAAGGAAAAATAGTGGTGAAAAAAAACAACAATTCTTGGTTTAATCAATCATTTTCGGCATATAAATATTCTTAATAATCCGCATAACTGGGGGCTTGACAGGGATGTGTCCATTTCCCAAATAAATTGTGCTAGAAGGTGTACCTCTTTCTTATCTCAGAAAGTTGGGAGGTATACCAGAGACCATGCTTTGCTATGAAGTGAGAGTGTCCTATTCTTACAGTGTGAGTTTAGAGAAGCTGTCTTGCTAGGCAGCACGTTCGTTTTGGCTTCTGAAAATCATCATTTGGTGTTGAAGTTTCAGTGCTGCAAATTTTGCCAGACAAATTTTCAGTGCAAATAACATTTACCACATTTGTTTCATAATACCGCATAAAGAATATATCATACTCAAAGTAATAGGCACTTACTGACCCTATGGTCAAAAATTATACCTAGATCTGCCTGCCCCATATTCTGCCAACTTACTATGCACCCTAAAAAATACTCAGATGCTAACCTGCCATTCAGAGTGTTCTCCTTCTGGGTCCAACAGACCCACCAACTGTCTGCTGTTTTCCTATTGCTGCACCTCGGGGAACCCCATTATCATCCTCCACTCTGACATTCTCCCCTATTTAAAATATTTCAGCAGGTACTAGGAAAGGTGTCTTTGTATTAGCTACAGAACAGGAGAACAAGTCTGCAATACAGTTTGTTTTGAATTTTGCAACATGTGTTAAGTGGTTAGTACTTCTGCCTTGCAGCACTCAGTGTCCCCGGTTCAAATCCTGGTCAGGACACTATCTGCAAGGAGTTTGCATGTTCTCCCTGTGCTTGCGTGGGTTTCCTTCAGGTACTCTGGTTTCCTTCCACACTCCAAAGACATGCTGGAAGGTTAATTGGCTCCTGCCTAAATTGTCCTTGTATGTATGCATGTGAGATAGGGACCTTAGGTTGTAAGCTTCTTGAGGGCAGGGACTGATGTGAACGTGCTCTATGTAAAGCGCTATGAAAAATATAAATACCTGTAATAAAAATAAATAAATATTGCAT